CGGTAGCCATTGAGTTCCATAGTATGGGGAAAAATACTATTTTTGGGTGAACTATGCCTTTAAGCTTGTACTATTTACTCCATATATATATATATATATATATATATATGTAACCATATGTTGCATAAATGACTTGTGTCATAGGAGAGGATCAGTCAGGTGCTGCGAGAGCTAGAAGAGGATCAGATTCAGGTGGTTAAATTGGGTGACGCCTCTATTGCTGCTCCATTCACTTCCAAACTGTCCTCCATACAGTGCAGTAAGTAACACATGCTTGAGCGCTCTCATTTAGTCCTATGTACAGTTGGCCTAACGTTGTCCCATCTGTTTTCAGTCTGTCACGTGGTTAAACAGGGGCGCTGCACTCTGGTGACCACTCTGCAAATGTTTAAGATCCTGGCGCTGAACGCTCTGGTTCTGGCCTACAGTCAGTCTGTGCTTTACCTGGAGGGCGTCAAATTCAGTGACTTCCAGGCGACCCTTCAGGGCCTGCTGCTTGCCGGCTGCTTTCTCTTCATCTCAAGGTCAAAGGTGAGACTGTAATGCTTTGTCAAGCTGCTTGTAGTTTGTGATGGACCGAGTTTCACTGACTGTAAGCCATGTCTGTTTTTTGCCTTAGCCGTTGAAGACTCTGTCCAAAGAGCGGCCTTTACCGAACATCTTCAACCTGTACACTGTCCTCACAGTGCTGCTGCAGTTTGCAGTCCACTTCTGCAGTCTGGTGTACCTGTACAGAGGGGCACAGAGCAGAAGCCCACCCAGGTATGAATGGAAATAAGAGTGGGATTTCTCAGTATCTTTACAGAAGAATTCTGTCACAAATCTTGGTAACACTTGCAGGTTGTATACATAAAAACCCAAAGTATAATTCAGTTTACTGTCCCCAAACTTTGGCCAATGGCTCATGTTGTCAGATATCATCAACTGTCTTTAAAAATGATGGCCTTAGGGTTGCTGTGTATCGCTTTCAGTGTGAACGCCTCTTTAGGCTGTTCAATCAGGACCAGACATTCCTTACATGTGACGTCATTGTTCACATTTGTGTTTGATTTTCATAACATTTGCAATCTGGCTTCATGTTTCACCTCTCTCTTATCCTTTTTCGCCCCTCCTGCAGGTCAGAGCAGTTTGTGGACCTGTACAAAGAGTTTGAGCCCAGTCTCATTAACAGTACTGTATACATCATGTCCATGGCCATGCAAATGGCCACATTTGCCATTAATTATAAGGTACTTTAATTCTTACTTTGATGTTAATCACATATAATGATGCTTTGTAGGACATGCACATCAGATTTTTATTTAATTTAGAGAAATAGTTCACCCAAAAATGTATTTGTGAAAGGAAAAATGCATTGCAATTGATCTCACAACAGCATTTCCTGAGGTCCCAAGTTTGAATGTACAAGCCAGTGTTTTATTTTAATATTGTTTGTGAACTATTATAGCACTATTATTATTTTTAACTAGCTTTTTATACTTGGTTTTTATTTTTAAGCTTTAGTAATGATATGTGCTCATGTGTCAACTATTTAGCTTTAATTTATTTTAGTTTAAGTAATTTTACTACTTTAACTTTTTATTTCAGTTAGTTGCCAGAGCACACTTTTAAGTTTGAAAACACTTTTTAATAGTTTTATTTTACAATAACAACACTGCAAGCGCAGATGAGATTTGAGACCTACAGCCTAAGATTCAACACTGTCTTGTCAGGGTCATCCTTTCATGGAGTCTCTCACTGAGAATCGGCCCTTGCTGTGGAGCATTGGATTATCCGGGCTTGCCATAGTAGGGCTACTGACGGGATCTTCACCTGAATTCAATGAGCAGTTTGCCTTGGTGGATATTCCAACTGAGGTATGAGTTCAATACACCACACTATTCACATACTAGAATGTCAGTGGAAAAGTGTTTGTACTTTAAGCATGCCGTAAAGGCTTGTTCACACCAAGAACGATAACTATAATTATATAACCCTATTAGCATCCACACCAACAGACATTCTGTTTATTATAAGCGTGTGCTGCAGTTTTGTCATCTGTCACTTTAAATGCTCGAGCTCTTTAAAGTCGGGTGGATTCTGATTGCCTGTGAAAGTTTTTATCATTTACCAGGTGGAAAAAATTATTCTGTGTGTTGTTATTGTTGTAGCTGTCAATTCTCAAAGAATTAGAACAATTTTTAAATCTTTGTTGTAGTTATCCTTGGTGTGAACGGGCCTTTAGTCAGTACACCGAAATTGTGACATAATACATTGTGATTAAATTGTTTCTAGGTTCTGTTGGAATTCAGTTCTCCACACAAAATGTTTGTAAGAATAGAATGTATACGTTTTAAAAAACCCACCTGAAATAATGTGCCACCCGGGTACTTTCGACTTAAATTCTCAACATAATATTAATTGGGATGCACTAATCCAATTTTGGGATGCTCTATAGCAGGGGTGCCCAACCCTGTTCCTGGAGATCTACCTTCCTGCAGAGTTTAGCTCCAACCCTGATCAAACACACCTGAACCAACTAATTAGGGTCTGAAGGAGCACTTGATAATTACAGACAGGTGTGTTTGATCAGGGTTGGAACTGAACTCTGCAGGAAGGTAGATCTCCAGGACCAGGGTTGGGTAATTGGTATTCAGCCTTTTTCGAAGTTGGCCTCTCATGTGTAGCTATTTATAATTAATATGTTTTTCTATTCTTTCTTTCTCTTTGCAGTTTAAGTTAATAATAGCCCAGGTCCTAGAAAACACCTGAAATAATGTGCCACCCGGGTACTTTCGACTTAAATTCTCAACATAATGTTAATTGGGATGCACTAATCCAATTTTGGGATGATCTATAGCAGGGGTGCCCAACCCTGTTCCTGGAGATCTACCTTCCTGCAGAGTTTAGCTCCAACCCTGATCAAACACACCTGAACCAACTAATTAGGGTCTGAAGGAGCACTTGATAATTACAGACAGGTGTGTTTGATCAGGGTTGGAACTGAACTCTGCTAAGCTTTAAATCACATGTACCAGGGTTGGGTAATTGGTATTCAGCCTTTTTCAAAGTTGGCCTCTCATGTGTAGCTATTTATAATTAATATGTTTTTCTATTCTTTCTTTCTCTTTGCAGTTTAAGTTAATAATAGCCCAGGTCCTAGTTTTGGATTTTGTCGCCGCCCTGTTGGTAGACAGAGTTTTGCAGTTCCTGCTGGGCAAAGGAACCCTGAGGTTGCCTAAATGAACTGTTATTGCCAACAGTCACCAAAGCAGCTGCTGCCCCTCGTGACCAGACTGTAAACAGGCTTTACAGGAACACAGTACTTGACTGGTGGCAAACTCTGCGAGATGCGAAAGGATGGGCGTGAAACTCAATACTGTACACACCCCAGTGTTTCCTTTTTCCTCTCTGTCTTTGCTCTGTCTTAATAATTTAGCTTCATTTTCTTTCTACTGACATCTTTAACCACCCCCTCCGCTCTGAAGGCCAAGAAAACTACAGTATTGTGTTGAGGATTTGAGTGCGGTTGAGGCACACGGCTGTGATTCTGAAGAAGTGTTTCTTTTTTTTTGTTTGTTTTAATTCGTTTTCATCATTTTGTAAAAAGACAAATCTCCGAAAGACTTATAAATGACCAAAAAAAACGGTTGTTGTGTTGTTTATTTCCACGACTCTTTCTTATTAAGACTTAAATTTTAGAGAACAAGCTAATTTTGTACTGCTTTGGATTAACAAAGCAGTATATGATATGAGCTGATACTTTCAGGAAAGCAAGGTGAAAGTACATTCTTTTACATTTAAGCTTTAAATCACATGTAGGAGTGCAAATAATGACATGATATGACTGCACAATGTGGTGTGATGTTATTAAATTCTGTATGCTAATGTAATATTTCTACATATCAATATTTCAACAGGCATAGGGTAAAAATAGAGCCTGAAGCTTGTCTCCAGATGAATATTATTTTTCAAAAGAAAATGTTCAGGGAAAGGAAGGCCTTTACATTCAGAAAATACTGATTGTCAAATTTGAATATCGCATTAAATATTATTTGCTTTATTTTACATTTATTATTTATGCACTAATTCCATTTTTTAAATAAATAAATTACAAATAATTATGCCAAAATGGGATGCAAGGACATAAGTAACAGGATTGCAAATGTAGCTTGAATCTGTTCTTCTCAATCTTTTTGATCATATATGGCAAGATATTTCTGCTGTAAGTGTTTCTTATAAACACAAACTGGGAAACAAGCAGAAACAATACTTGTTTGAGGGGAAAAATAAAAGAAATGTGTTAATTTCATGTACAATATTATTTGCTTTATTTTACATTTATTATTTATGCACTAATTCCATTTTTTTAATAAATAAATTACAAATAATTATGCCAAAATGGGATGCAAGGACATAAGTAACAGGATTGCAAATGTAGCTTGAATCTGTTCTTCTCAATCTTTTTGATCATATATGGCAAGATATTTCTGCTGTAAGTGTTTCTTATAAACACAAACTGGGAAACAAGCAGAAACAATACTTGTTTGAGGGGAAAAATAAAAGAAATGTGTTAATTTCATGTATTTTTTACCATTTAAGTTATTTTATTATTTTTTAATAATAATAATAATATTTTCATCTGAAAGTTAAGTTGTCCTCTATCCACCTTTGGAAGTTTACTGAGCCCCCCTGCTCAAAAGGAAGCTATTACTCGGGAAGAAAACGTATATTTCTCATAAATGAAATAATATATTTGTTTGACTTTTTTTTTTACCTCAAAATAACTTAAGTAACAGGCTTGAAGGTTTTATGCTTTATGCAGTGGGCTCTGCAATTTGTGTAAAAAATTGAGTGTCCACATAATTGTACATCTCGCCTGTTACAATTTTAAGGAATAATTTTTTCATGCTGGGTTCATTTTATATTAGTTAATAGTTTATCAAACATAGTTGTCGCAAACCAAAACATGGGAATCATCATTTCACGCTAATGTAACTTGACTACAGTTCCCAAGAACCATCACGGTGGACATGAAAGTGGGCGGGGCTTATTTGAGACCGCGCGCGGTCTTTGAAAGAAAATGGCGGAGCTTCAGAGTGGAGGATTCGAGCCGTGAGTGTCTTAGTATTTACAACATGGAGACTATTATGTATTAAATGTTTTCCATTGACATGTGGTAATAATTTTGGTATAAAGAATGTCCTTTCATAAAGCACAGCTTTTAGAATAGCGTTGAACGCGGCTGTTGTTGTTTTTTTACTTGTTAATTGACAAATACAGATGGCCGTTGTTTAAAATACATTACAGTCAACTAGATGCAGCAAACGAGGTTGTGTAATTTCTTCCCTGTGTTGTAATTTTCATGACTATTTAATCTCTCGCAGGTGTGATGCCAGCAACATCAGTATTACCAGGGTAAATCTGTTTCGGTTGTTTTTTTTTATATATACTTTTCAAACGTTTGGGATCAGTAAACGAACAAAAAATACTTTTATTTAGCAAATTAGCATATTAAAATCATTTCATGTTATTTAAAATTATAATAATATTTCACAGTATTACCTTTTTACTGTGATCAATTAAATGCAGCATTGGTGAGCATAAGAGATGAAGGATCGTGTGACGCTGAAGACTGAAGTAATAGCTTTGCATCACAGGAATAAATTACATTTTAAAATCTATTCAAACAGAAAACTGTTATTTAAAATTGTAATAATATTTCACAATATTACCTTTTTACTGTGATCAATTAAATGCAGCATTGGTGAGCATAAGAGACTTTCAGAAACATTAAAAATATTACTGACCCCAAACTTTTGAACGTGTAGTTTAAAAGAACATTATAGCCAAAATCATTATCATGCTTAGTGCCTGTTATATTTTGAGACTGACTTGTTCCTTAGTTATGCTTTTAAAATGTCATTATGCATTATTACAGCTTCCAGTGTCTTTAGTCATGTGAGAAATGCATAGACAACCACAGTATATGTATCTTATGCTGTGTTGTGTTTCCATTTCGTCTGTCTCAACTAGGTCTCAGAAGTGTCTAATGGAGTCAAACGGCCTCATAATAGTAACCACATCTCAGGTCCTCCTCAGAAATCACCTTGCACATCACCTGCTCCTGAAACAATGCAGCATTTAGGAGAGGAGGAACAGCCGGAGGACTCAAAGATGAGCTCGGTTGAGGACCGTATCAGGGAAAATGTGACCTTTACTGCTCCAGAACGAAGCCCTCGCTCACGGAGGAAATCCTGGAGGAGATCATCCAGAGGCAGACGCTCTCTGCCGGCCTTCTCCAGCTCCTCGCAGCGTGAGTGCTGAATCAAAGACACTTTCACCAGATGTCATGCTGGAGTTGTTTATGATTGTGTTGATTTTCTCTTCTCTTTGTGTCGTTTAGCACTGTGTGAAACCATCAGTCTGTCTTTACCTGATAATGAGAGGCTGGAGATGCTAATTAAAGCTGCTATGCAGGTCTTTAAAATGCATATTATTAAGGAAATTAGATTCAGCTTTGTCATTGTGACCATGAATCCACTTTCTTGCCTTTTCTTCCTGAATCTAACCATTTATTTTCCTGATTTGTGCATAGAGGACCGTGAAGAGGGCCAAAAATAGTCTGAACACTGTTCCTGGGGTTGATGCAGAGACACTGCAGGCTCAAGGTAAGTCAGGGTGTTCCGGTCGAGCCAGTTGTTCAGATTTTTACTTGTCCTGCAAACATTTTCACTAGCTTCATCACAAAGTTTTTGAATCAAAGGCTTGGTAAGATTTTTAAATGTTTGATTTTAAAAGGCCTCTTATGCTGGCCAAGGCTGCATTTATTTGATTAAAAAAAACAGTAATATTGTCAAATACTGTTACAATTTAAAATAGCTGTTTTCTATTCAAATATATTTTAAAATGTCATTTATTCCTGTGATGCAAAGCTGAATTTTCAGCATCATTACTCCAGTCTTCAGTGTCACATGATCCTTCAGAAAGCATTCTAATATGCTGATCTGATGCTCAAGACACATTTCTTATGATCAATGTTGATTTTTTTGATGTTCTTTGATGAACCGAAAGTTGAAAAATTCTTTAATTTAACTTAATTTATTTAAATATATATTTTAAAATATTGAAAACTCTTTAGTAACATTATATACGTCTTTACTGTCACTTTCAATCAATTTAATGCATCCTTGCTGAATAAAATAATTTATTTATTTAGAAAAAAAACTAAATGCTTATCACTTGCCATTATCCTTCAAGCCTACCCATTTCCCAGCAAGAAGTTTTTAATAATTTAAAACATAACATTTAGTATAATAACTATCTTTTAAATATTTAATATGTATATATATATATATATAATTAAAAAAAAAGAAACTTTAGTGGAGAGTGGTAGTGTAATTGGGGAAATGTCATTTTCAACACATTCTTATATTTCTAAGCAAAATGTTTTGTAATTTCAACAAAACCTCATATATTAGGGTTCTGCAGAATTTGCAAAAACAGTATTGAGAACATCACAGAAAATGCCCATACTTACTGAATTTTGTCCAAAATATAATTCTATTTATAATGAAATGTTGTCCAAAATATATGTTGTGATGTATATATGAATGCCATTCACTTCCAGTTGAATCTTTGAATGAAGAGTGGGACAGCCTGACTAAAGACATTAGAAGAGAAACTCAGAATTCACTTCCAACTGTTGAGAGGTAAAAGTCAGTTTTTCCATTTTAATTACATTTATCATTAGTCCTTCAATCCTGAAGCACACTTTATTACATTTCTCTCTCTCTCTGTATATGCAGTGACCCTGTTGTTAACGTGACCACTGCACGCATTCAGGAGGACATTAACAGGTAATTCTCTATCTGCTCTCATCCATCCAAGACGTTACAGTGGAAATCTGATTTACTTCATTTCTGTGTTCATCTGACATGGTAATGGTCTTCTTGTACTCATGAAGGTTACAGGCTGAAACTATGTCATGGGAGTCGCTATTGAACAAACACCAGAGCAAAGCTGACGAATTAGACAAGTGAGCACAATTTCATAAACACACCAGCACCAGTGTTCAAACTATACCGTGGACTTTGGGGGAGCCCACTTGCTTTTTTTTTTGTGGGGGGTTTGTGTGCTTACAATGACTTACAAAGATACATAAAAGCTATAAGTGTATGCACTACTTGCTTTATGCAAGCGCTATATAGGATAAATCACTATACAGGATTTACCCTATTATACTTTATCGAC